AGCTAACAGTGAGTGTTTTCCATTTTTACTTTTATTTTAAATACTTTTCGTGACCGAGATTTTTTAGCATTTTAAACATTACTTCATACTCGCTAGTCGTTTAAAGCATCCTATTTATTTCATTTTCTCGGGGCTTGTTTATAATTTTCTTGTTTTAGCTTCGTCCGTACCAAATTTACATTGACCGAAGCACTGGAACGTGCCAAGCCCCCGGCTGTGGAGCCCGAGTACCAGTGGGGTAGCCGTTCATTAAACGCCTGCTACGAAGCTATTTTCAAGCTTTATCGTGGCTTTATCGGATCGCCTCATCTGTCTGCGATCTGCCGCTTACTCGGCTACCAGGGCATATACATTATTGTCACCGAGGTTATGAAGATCTGCAAGCCACTTGTGAGTTTGTTATATAAGCTTTTATTTTTTTAAACTGGTTTGCTTCTATATGTCTTTTACTCCTTGCTTTATACAAACTCCTCTACAGCAATTCAGAAGTGCTTACCTCAAATCTTCATAGAAATTCAGCACTTATTGTCTTTTTACATAATCCTAACCTATCTTGCTTATCGTACACTAGAATTATGGATTTGAGTATGGCTAATATGATACTTCCCCATGCCAAAATTATGAATTTTCATTCTCCAACATTTTTTACAATTTATTTTAATAGGGGGACTGGAAAAACATCTCTTTTTATTTCCTTGTTTGGCTACTTCATTTAGATTATCTATTCAGCCAAAAAGCAATTATTTTAGCCAAAATATTCTTAAATTAATTCGATTTTCCTTTTGATATGTTTTAACAAGGCATTATTCTACATATTCGAATATTTGTTTAGTCTTAACTAAATTAAAGCTTGAATTACGAATTTAGTCATCGTAGGTCGTTTAAGGTTATTAAGGGCTGATATTTGAATTTTCCTACAATTGAGTAAGATGTTTGCATTTACGAAGAGTTATATATTATAGCTTTGTGGATCTTGTATATGGGGCTCCTCAATCGCTTTGGAAAATTCGATAGATCTGCTCGACACCACTTTTAGCAGATGTTTACATAATCTGTACCTATTTTTTCGTTCAAAGACGGGAAGCTGTAGAGGGATTGCAATGGAGCTAGGATTGTAGATTTGTGCTAATACGTCCTCGGCGCACCGCCATGCGACTTCGATGAATCCTTGCTGAGCTCTCGTCCGTCACATGACGGACCTCGTCAGAGCAGGACACCATAATTTACTACAGCATGAATTTGTTAAGGGATTCTTTGAAAACGAGTTTTCCAACATATAATAATATACTAGTATACTTTTCACTTGTATTCACTGACAGTCAACATTTCCAGATATTTGCCAGGAGTCATTTTTGCCTTAC